CTGCTCCTATTCTGATGGTTTGTTCGTATTGTTGACACTGCTGATGTTTGGTGGGAACAGAAATAGAGTTGCAAGTAATTCCCTTAGCAGGCTGTGTCTGGGGAGTTCCAGCGGTCAGCAGGGCTGTCCTGGCAGGGTGGTGGGGCTCGGTACAGAGAGCGCCCTGTTCTGCGTGACCTCCGTACCATGTGGTACTGGAAGATTTCCTGTAGACTTTCTAAAACTTAAAAAATGACATCAGGAAGTTGGCAGACATGAAGTCAGCCTGTAAGTGTGAAAACCCACTCGGAGTGTCGATGCTGTTCCAGTCACAGGGCAACGGGCTTCCAGTACCACACCCCTGGGGGGGCTCGCAGGCCGTGTGCACCGCTGACAAGAGCCGGCCGCTTGGAGCTCTTGGTAGAATGGACGCCTGCTTCTGACAGCCCTTCAGAAAGGAACGAAGATTTGCACATCTGAAGGACATAGTTTGTTTAAACAAACTTTGGCATCAAAGGCTGAGGAAATTGGCTTGAACGGCCTCCCGCCCAGTGAGATCGCTGTCCCCCACTGCCATCTGGCACTGAAGCCGTTTGCACACCCTGCAGCAGGCGGACAGCTTCCTGGGCGCAGGACACGTGGGGGGTGGGGAGGCGCCTCCAGCGCTTCCGCGGGGCAGCCCTGGGGTGGAGCGATGGAGCATCGGGCCAGCCCGGAGCTCAGGCGGGACACTGTCAGGGTCACTCGGGGCCGCTTCCAGGGCTCGTGTGCAGGGTGGACGAGGACCCGCAGTGCCCACCCAGGGCATAAGGTGCCGGCCAGGACACTGTGAGAGCGCGGAATGAGGCTGGGGTGACACTGCACCCCTGGGCTGTGCCGGGCAGGCTCAGCTGTGCTGGGAGTCGGTACTTGGGGGGGCTCTGCGCCTGGGTTGGCCAAGCCATGTGGGGGCAGAGCTGTGTGGGGTGGTGGTGGTGTGGGGGTGCGGGGCCACTCAGCTTTGGGGGTTGGAGCATGCAGGGGGTGGAGCATTGCAAGGGTGGAGCTGTGTGGTGGGCAGAGCAGTGCATGGGGGCGGAGCTGTATTGGGGAAGGGTCCCCCTCCCCCACTCCTTCACCCCAACACAGCTGCAAGGGGCGCCCAGCTCTCAGGCCTCAGTCTCTGTGCCCACAGCGCTGCCTAGAGGCGGGGAGGGGAAGTGTCCTTTCCCCAAGGACTGAGCCCCGTCTACCTGATGGGCCTGTACCCCTGCAGGTCCCCTGACACGGTAGCAATAGCGTGTGAGTTTGTGGGTTCCGATGGGACCCCGGTCATGACGGGTATGGGTGGCTGTGTTTTGTGCCGCTCTGAACCTAGTTGCAGTCAGAAGAGCCTGGGGCTCTTGCTGGCCCTGGGGCTCCCACGGACTTGCCCCTGTCCGAAGCCAGGCCGTGCTGGAAAGCCCTGGGGACCGCACTTCCCTCTGCACCCTGGAACATACACCCCCACCCTGCTCCCTTACACCTGTCTAAAGCATCTCCTCCCAAACCTACGTTTCGATGCCCATGGACATTTCATCAGCCAAGGTCACCTTTTCTTAGGCTATTATTATTTTGTTGACAAATGCTGTAACTTCCATACCAGCAGTTCATCTAACTGGGAAACCCAGGAAGCTTGCCTTTTCTTGGATGCCTGCAAAGTGCTGAAAACGCACATGCCCGCTTGAATTACCCCACTGGAGTTCGCCTTTCTTACCCAAGATGATCCGACATTCCATCCAGGGTCTGGGCTTTCTCCTGGTGTGTTTATTACATTTCAACGACATGACAAGCTTTGTGTTTTAAAGGGTGAGGACATGTAAGTTTTTCCCGGGTGTTGTAGTGCATTTTGGGGGTCTTTGAGTCCCGTTAAAATGGGGTCGTGGCGCCCGGGGTGAGGGGCGACCCCTGTGATGTTCCTTCTCTGAACACACTCAGCGTGGGTCTCGCCGGGGTCAGGGTGAAGCCGGGTCGCTTGGGTCTGTTCGCAGACCGCGTGGACGCATCCTACCCTGCCCATCCGCACTGGGTCCGGGGCTCCCTCTTGGACCCCTCGCGGGCACACCTGTGGTCAGGCTCTGCTGGAAGGTTGGCAGGGCTGGAGACGGCGCCCTCAGGAGCAGAAGCTGGTCTGTAAGGAGTAGGCGCGTCCAGGCCCCCTTTCCCGTCCTACCTGGAGGCCTGGGAACCGTGGGCACCTTCTCCCGGGTGTGCAGGGGCCTGTGAGGACAGCTTCTTAGTTCTGCCCGCTGCAGGGGCAGCGTGATGGGCTCTGGGATCCCCTGTGGTTGGGTGGAGCTTTGAGAAGATTGATTTTAGCGCGTCGGCCAGTGAGTGCCTTTGGGCAGGTGACTAGGGGCAATTCAGACCCTGTTCCAAGCAAATAACACAGAGTGGCCCTGCGCTCCTTCCTGGTGCTCTGGACTCTATGAAGGTAGTTTCCGATCTCAGTTTATACGTCTGATTTCTCTTTGTCCTTCATTTGCTTTTGCTCTGAAAGTGTTGGGTGCTGTTACTGGGAGTCCTCTGGGGGTGCGTCCTTGAGCAGCGTGCCCAGGGACCGTCAGGAACAGGGGGCTCCACTGTGTGATGTCCAGAGCCTTTGGGAGGAGCCTGGAGCCTGTGGGCATGGTCAGCCTGGGGGCTGGTGCGGGCACAGCATGAGCGTTTTCTAGAAGCTTCCATGTGGTTTTGCAGATCCTGAGAGGTGTCCTCGGGAGTCCTGGTACAGATGAGCGTGATATTCCCATTGTCCGTGACTGTCTTAGTGATTCGGCCAGGAGTGGACCATGAAACCCCTAATGTCGCATCCCCTGAGGGAGCAGAGGTCACGGCGTGAGTGAGGGTGACAGTCTGCGGGGCTGTGCCCCTGCTGGGGACTGAGGTTCCCACGACATGACTGCTCCCGTGGCCTGGGCGTCCCGACCCTGGGCGGACCAGCAGGCTCAGTGCCTGGGCGGAGTCTTCTGGGGCCTCACCTGATTGCCGAGTCCTGGCGCTGCCCAGAGCCTGTCCTGTGAGCCGAGGCTGTGCCCGCAGCTGTGCTGGCCGGGGCACTTTAGCACCCAGCTGGCCGGCTCAGGCTTCACTCCGAGTGTCGGATCACCCCCAACCCCGGGGCCTCGACCACCTGCCCCAGAGGTCAGGAGGGGCACCGTGGAAGTGACCTGTTGGGCTGAATGTAGCAACAGAGGACAGAGCGCAGGAGCGTAGGACAAGGCTCTCTGGGCAGCTCTCTGGCAGCCCCCAGGGGTGTTCTTGTCCGAGTTAAGGCTAGCGGCTTAGGCAGTGTCGGGCAGGAAGTGCCCCCGCACCGGCTCCTGCGGGTGCAGGTGTGGGTCTCCGCTGGCCTCGTGGTGCGCTGTCCGAGCACAGGCGTTCAGGGCACCCCGGGGCCTGAGGGCAGAGACAGGCCCGGGCACCCCGTGTGGACCTCGCAGTCCCTCTCCTGTAGGCCCAGAGCTGCGCCTTCCACGTCATGCATTTACCATGCCGGTTGCTCCCCGCCGTTGGGGTCTGCTCCCCCAGCGCCCAGAGGCACACAGGGCCTCACCGCTCCCATCTGTCTGGGCATGGGGCCACGTGTGGGCCGCATGTGACCCTGACGGCCGGGCCAGGGTTTCCGGCGGCCCAGGCTGGGCTAGTGCTGCTCCTGGCCAGAATTCCTGGGGACTCCTGCCCGTCCCTGGTGAGCTTCCCAGGGGCAGGTCTGTTTCCAAGCAATGCTGTGCCTTTAACAGGGGTTTTTATCGTGGGTGCAAGATGCTCTTCAGCAATAGTCACAAGGAAACTGAAACACAGAGATTTGTCGGTCACAGAAGTCGTTCGCAATGTGCAAGCACAGTCTACCTCAGTCAGAGCCGAGGTCGCTGGGAGACGGAGAGGGAGGAATAGATACATGAAAAACATAAAAGTGGGAATCTAGGCTTTCTTGTGATTATTTTTCATCATTGAATTAAAATTATGAGATGAAGTTAAATGCGGGAGAGAAAAGCACAAACAAGAGACACAAGCCTGAGAGAGAATGTGGGGGTGCAAACCTACCAGACACCAAGTGAGGCCACACACCGGGTGGTCACCCCGGAGCCCCCGTCCTTTTCCTTCCCAGCCAGGCTCACGCCTCACCCCACAACACAACGCTGGACTCCCGAGAAGACTCTCAGGGAGCTGCCGTGTGCCCAGCAGCCCAGTCACCAGTGTCACCGTGCCGCGCAAGGGCCGATCTTCTGTCTCCCCCGTCCAGCGTCCAGCCTGACTGAGCTCCTCAGCCAGGCCCCGACGTCCCCGGCTTCACTGTCCTGTTGCGCCCTCCGCGGTGTCCGCTGCTGAGCGGGGGGACACGCTTCCCGAGTTTGGGGTCAGCCCGGTCCCTCCTCCCGCACTTCCCACCACCCAGAGACAGCCCGTGCGCGTCCCACTCCCCTCCTGGGACTGTGGCCTTGACTGTGGCCCAGGGCGGCACTGGGGACTCGCTGGGGAGAGGCCGACTCAGACGCTGTCTCCCCCACGCTGAGCAGCCCGGCCTCATGCCGGGACTGCGCAGGGAGTCAGACCCGCGCCGGGCCCGGGACCCTGAGGGCCCCGTGAACCCAGCTCGCTCCTCCTTCTCTTCCCGGGGTGTGTTTCCAGTCCTCTGTGCACCCTGTGCCATCACCACAAACGCCATCACCGCAGGTGGCTTCCAGAGGGCAGCTACTGGCTTTCCTCAGGAGTCAGAGGTGGCTGCTCGGGAAGGCTGTCTTGTTGGGGGAACCGGACTTCCTCGGTGGCGCTGACCTGAGGGCCTGCACTGTGCCCCAGCCTGAGCCCATGACCGCCCCGTGGGGAAGACACTGGGGTCCTCTCTGCCCCTCTGAGCCCCACACCCCACCCTGTGTGCCGTGAGGCTGCGGGTGTCTGAGACAGCAGCGGGCAGCACGGGCCCTCCGCTGGCCACCTCCCAGTCAAGGTCACCGTGCCCTCGTGCCATTGAGTTCTGACCATTTTTTCCCTGTTTCTTTCAGATGACTTACCTTTACATGAGATTAATCTGTGTTTCCCTGGTGGTCATGGGAGCCCTGTGGTGTTACCTTAACCCGGAAAATGTGAAACCTTCCAAAGTCACTCCAGTGTTTTCCAAGAGAGCAAGTGGGGCCTTCCTGCAGCTCCCCGACTCGGCCTGCGAGCGGAACGCCCCCTTCCTGGTCCTGCTGGTGACGTCGGCCCCCCAGCAGGCGGCTGCTCGCAGCGCCATCCGGAGCACATGGGGGAGGGAGCGCACGGTCCGGGGAAAGCGGGTCCGGGCGCTCTTCCTCCTGGGCGCCACCCCCAGCCGGGACCTGGCCCGGGCGGTGGCCCGGGAAGGCCAGCAGCATCGCGACACCGTGCAGAAGGACTTCCTGGACACTTATGACAACTTGACCCTGAAGACCATGATGGGCATGGAGTGGGTCCACCGCTACTGTCCCCAGGCCGCTTTCGCCATGAAGACAGACTCTGACATGTTCATCAACGTCGACTACCTGGTGGAGCTGCTCCTGAAGAAGAACCAGACCTCGCGCTTCTTCACTGGCCTCCTCTATAAAAACTCCCTGCCTGTCCGGAGAAGATCCAATAAATGGTTTCTTAGCAGAGAAGAATATCAGTGGGGAACATTCCCGACCTACTGCGACGGCACCGGCTACGTGTTCTCCAGCGATGTGGCCAGCCTGGTGTATCATGTTTCTGAAAGTGTCCGTTTCATTAGGCTGGAAGATGTCTTTGTGGGTCTCTGCCTCCAAAAGCTCAAAATCCGCCCTCGGCAGCTTCACACAGTACAGACCTTCTTTCCAAAAGGCCTACCCTTTTCCGTGTGTCGTTACAGGAAGATCGTCTCCAGCCACCACATCAAGCCTCAGGAGATGAGGCTCTATTGGTACGGTCTAGAGAGTTCCCGGGGAGAGGAGTGTCCAGGCTATTGAGGGTTCCCAGCAGCACAGATGACACAGGTCAGGCACCCAGGACTGTGACCGCTGCTTAAAGCCATTGTTTGTTCAAGGTCTGCCTCCTGGAGGGGGTTGCTGGTGAAGATTGATAGCCCGGGGAAAGTGCTGAAAGGTGTCGCATTTTGGGGTGTAGCAATAGACAAGAAATACAAAGAAGTGGATAATGTTTTGTAGATGATTCAGTTTTCAGGAGTCAGTGTTCGGATTCAGCTTCCGAGGATCAGTGTTTTAGTTTCAGAAGGCTGTTGGCATTTAAAGGTGGAGAGGGCTCCAGCACCCAGCCTCAGAGAGGAAGAGTTTTCGGCTTTGCAAGCAGCAGACTGACTACAGCTGTGCCCAGTGTAACCGCTGCTGCAGCCTGGCAGAGGTCAAGACCGACGTGTTTTCTGGCTGAGCTGAACAAGTGTGCTGCTGGTCAAGTCATTTGATCGCTGTTGCTGCTGTTTTGAGTGTCACTTGGCTGGTGCCGTGCTGGGGCATCTCAACAGCTCAGGGACCATCTCTTGTTGCATCTTCTGTTGTCCTCGTGAGCTGAAACCTGCCCTATAGTCTGACTGCCATGTGCTTGCAGGGGCAGGAAGACACCATCTTGAACACGTGGCCTACAGTTAGGGAGAGGAGCCCTGCATCCCAGAGGCAGGGTGATGCCATCTGGTCTGCTTTTGTTGAGGACTTAAAAGCAGTGGATGTGGCTTTGGGTGAGGCAAATCGTCATTTTGGTCTCAGAAACTCTTTGTTTTCCCCTGGTTTGTTAAATAAATCCCACCATTGTTGTCTTGTCACTGTGCTCGTAAGTGAAGAACTGACACAAGCTATGCGACGTCTATCGTCTGACAGATTCCGGGTAGATCGGGAAAAGCTCTGAAAAATCAGACTTTCCACTGCTAACTTATGTTCTGACCTCCCTTTTTTGTATAATCAAAATATTCTGAGCAACTTTCAGCTTACAATTGGATTGCCTCAGAGGCATAAGGTCTGCCTGCCCTGACAAGCAAGCACTGCACTAGGGTGAGACATTCCTCTGAAGTCAAAAGTGACTTGACAACTGGCTGATCAGTAAAAGCAAAAGGGCTGTTTCTGCAAAGTCTCTCACTGCCCATGGAGGAAAACCCAAATCTTATTCCTCTACTATCTCACCTGGCCTTCTATTCAGCTTCTAAACAATTACTCAAGCTTCCTACTGTCTGGAGTTTAGATGTGGAAATTCATCCAGGTTACCTGTTTTAGAGCTAGTCATGTTTTCTACCTACTGCACTTCAAAGGAATTCACACAAGTCTTCTGGCTAGTCTTTCAGGATTCTACTATCTAGTCTTTAGATAAGGAAATTTACCTATGTCTCCTATTCAGAGCTAATTACGCTTTCTACTGTCTAGACCTCAAGGAAACTCACTTAAAAACTTTCTAACAAGTTTCTTCAAAGAACTTTTCCGTCATTTGATTTACAAGAAATTTCCTCTTCCTGCCTCCCAGAATGTCTCAAGTAGAAAAAAAAAAAAAACCAAACAAACCGTTAAGTAGTAGATAAGGTTTAAAGGACTTTATTTTAGTTAATCTTGACTATAGTAATATTAGTCTTAAACTTTGTGCATCTATGTACCTGTTTTTAACCTTGATTGATTTTAGAATGTTATAATCGCAAGTAAAGGTCAAAACAACCCCAGACTATTCTTAGAAAAAAGGTGATTGTGATCTCAGCCCCTTTCATATGCTAATGTCACCCCCCTGCCTGCTTGAAATGTATAAAATAAACCTCTGCTGAAGGCAGAGCAGGAAGATTTGCATCAACTCTGACTAGGGTGTCTGCCTCACTCCGGCTCCCTTCTACTCCCCAATTTTTGGAATATCCGCTCGCCCACGTCGTTCCCACCTTGAGACCCTGCCTGTGCTGCCCCCCAATAATCCGTGATCGGGGACAAAGTGTCTCCGACAAAGAACTCAGATAGACTGATAAACAATTTGGGCAGTGTTCTTGGCCAGCTTTAGTGCCCCTCGCTGCCCTGTATCAGGATGATGGTTCTTGAAGTTTCTTCCTTACTGATGATGGTGGCAGAGGGGTTGGAAGAGGGTAGAACAGAACAATGACGTGAGATTTCAGATCTGAACTACACCGTGAGCTGGAATGAAGCCTTGAAAGAGCCCCACTCATGCCCCAGCCAATAATTAGCACCATCCCCACAACCCACACTCTATGACAAAGTGGCCAAGAACATACATAGGAATAAAGAATATGGCAGTTCCTGGTGTTGGGAAAATTGGAAAAGCACATTCAAAAGAAATGAAACCAGAGAACTCTCTAACACCACACACAAAATCAATTCAAAGTGGATAAAAGACTTGAATATAAGGCCTAAAACTATAAAACACATAGAAGAAAACATAGGCAAAATGCTTCATGACAGCACACTTTAGCGATGTTTTTAAGGGTTATTCTCCAACAGCAGGAAAAACAAGAGAATATAAACACCTGGGACACGTCAAGCTAAAAAGCTTCCATGCAGCGAAAGAAACCTTGACTAGAGAGAAAACACTCTCCTGAATGGGAGAAGAATTCTGCACACCGTACACACGACAAGGAACCGCTATTGAAGATCTACAGAGTGCTCAAACAACTCATCACAGAAGAAAACAAAGAACCCAATAAAAAAATGAACAGAAGAGTTAACCAGGCACCTCTCCAAAGAAAGGGCACATGAAAAAAGGTCATCATCACTTACCAGCAGGGAAATTCAATCAAGTTCACCAACCTCCGAGGCTTTCCCAAGCTACCTCGTTAACATAGAGTCGGGTGTTTTTGAAATGGGCTTTTTATGAAAAACAAAAGACACCTTTACCTCTCTTATCAGGAAATTCTATGTGTTGTAGAAGCTCCATGCAAAGAATGAGGATGAGGATCAAATATGTGTGTGTGTGTATATTTATTATAAATTACAATATCATAATGTCTCAATCTCTATCCATCCACCCACCCAACCACCCATTTATCCACCCACCCACCTACCCAACCACCCATCTATCCATCACAAACACTTTTCTGCTGTCTATTCTTTTGTGTAAGTTATGTGCACACTCCCACTCATTTCCTTATAACGGGGAATTACTAAACGAAAGGCCACTCTCATTTTCCACTTTCTGAATGATGCAGATGAAGGGGCAGGAGACTCCCTGCAGTGCCAGGCGGAGCATTCCCCGCCAGGAGGTGCATCCATCTCGGTCACAGCTGCTCAGTCATGCAGGTGTGGAGTGCATCAGCCATGGAAACATGTCAGTAAATGCACACGGCTTGTTCCAACAAGACCTCATTTATCAGGACAGATGACAGGCTGGATTTTGCCCTGATGGCTTGCAAAGGGGTGCTTTTAGAAAAACATGCCAATGGAGAAGGGAATCCCCCAAGAAGCGCTCGAGGAAGGAGAACAGGAATACCACTCGCTAGGGCTTAGAGAGAGCAGAAGCCTGGCGATGACGAGTACGGGCGGCCAGGGACACGCCGAGCTGCACGGGATGTCCATGTGCTGTTCACCAAGCCCCTGGCTTCCTCATTCGGCACAGGGGTCACCCTGCCCACCTGTGGAGGTGCTGCCATGGGGTTTGGTCTGGACCCTGGAATATAACTGACGCGACCTGCTATTCAGGGGTCTGAGTCACATCATCTGGTCCCTTTCCTCTTACAGTTTGTCAGCTGGGATAAATCAGGACAGGCAAAAATAAGTGGGTTCATTAAGGACTCACAAGTGAGAACTGGGGCCCAGGAAGGGCTCCCAGATCACTCTGGGAAAGCCACCCCAGTTCTGAACTTTGCAGTGAGAATTTCTAGTCCATTGGTGAGCTTCTGGAAGCCACTTTGAGAATTTTCTGCAGAGACAAATAAAACCTATGCTGGAGCCTTGTTCCTCGCCTGTCTGATGTTGTCTCGAGGGAAACAGAGGGTGGGCAAGCTCTCCCCAGAGCCCTGTCTTCCGGGATGGGCTGGGTGCGACAGCCGAGGTCCTAGGGGGTCGTTCTCGGGAGTCATGGCTCGTCTGGAGGTCATGGTGCTTGTGCGCAGACAGCCTCCCCGACCCAGCGTGTTCATGGGATGGAGCAGCTGCATCCTGACTCTGAACTCACACCCTTCGTTGGGTCAGACAGAGGGTCCCCTTCCCTGTCCGCTCTGGCTCACATGCTGCAGCCCCGCCGCCTGGAGCCAGTGAGATGAGTGGGACGCCCCCTGCAGCCCAGGCTGTGTGAGTGTCGTGCCGCTGGGGCTTGCGCTGAGCAGCCAGGGTTTCAGGAGAGTTTGCTACACGCACGAGCCCACCCAGCAGTATCCCTTAACTGCGAAGCTCCCGTGTCACCACCTGGCTTTGCTGCCCTGCCTCATCTCATCTGTCTTCATAGCATTGACCAGCACCCAGCATACCTTTGGTTGTTCCAGAATGAGAGACCCCCCGGGAGCAGAGACTTGTATCTGTCTCTATTAAAGTTCAGTGAGCACTTGTGGTCAGTGACCCCCCCCCAAAAAAAAAACAAAAACCAAAAATAACAACCCAGTGCCAGCGAGCAGTCATGAAGCATGGGGTGTTTTTTCATCCTCATCCAGGCTAGCAGGGTGTTATACTTCCTTTTAACGGTAGATGAGTTCCTCTCATTTTGTTTATCGGAATGCATTCTTTGCTTCTGTATTTTCTCTTCTTGCTGAAGGCTCCCAGGTTCCCACGGACCCTCCTTCTCAATAAAGAGATGTGGACGGACTTGGCCTGTGCCTTGAGCCCGCGTGAGCAGTCTGCAGCGTGAATGATGCCATGTGAGTGCCAAGACCCTCAAAGCTGCTCCAGCTGACTTTTGGGAAGCCATCACTCACGGCTGCTGGAGGGGGCGCCATTGCTCGCAGACAGAGTCCAAGTCAATGCAGCAGGCGCTCGATCTCTTAAACCAAACCAAGATGCTCTCCCAGGTGCTGCATTGCTTCCCTAACACAGAGCCCCCCAAGTGAGTT